CCAATCCCCACCCCCTCCCCCACCCCCGCCCCCCTCCCGCAAATGAGCCCACTTGCTGGTGACCAGTGTAGACCTTGCATTTAAAGGAACCTTTTCTTTCTCTTCTTTCCCATTGTGATGTCTCTCATGCAGGTTAGACTTAGAGTTCACTATCCAAATCCCTTGAGCCCATCAAAAATGGCTCCCAGTCCACATTAATGACCCTATCCTCCTTTTTTTCTTTTTTCTTTTTTTTTTAAAGCTATATGTATAGTTGACTGGAAAATTTATTATTTTTGTCTTGCATGTTGAGGAATTTGGAAATATTATTTTTTCTAAAAGAAAAGGGTATAAGGCAGATAGGTCCCAGCTGGATCATCTTGGTGTCTAAGGTTTGTGTGAAAATTTGCTTTTGAGGGAAAGAAGTTTCTATTCTGTAACACGTTAACTTAATTTCAGGAAGTATAAAGAGAGATGGGAAACTCTCCGAGAGCCAAAAAGCACTTCACTTAAAATATAAATGCAAGGGAGCAATTCTCACTTCTCCTAATCTTAATTTTTTTTTTTGATAGCTCACTATTACTGCTCGTAATCTTACTGTAGGTGATTTTCCGTAGGAAAACCCTGTTCATTTGTCTGAGCTGGGTGGTGTTCAGAGCAAAGCCTTGGATATATTGTTGGTGATTTCTGAAGTTGTGTAAGCCCCATTTTCTGTTACCTACAACAGCCTGCAGTAGGGAGTTTGGATTTAAAAACCTCGTGTTAGAGACCAAACCTCTCTTGCATTCACTACCTGAAATCCAGATAGTTTCTGTGGGTACCACTGCTGAAATATTCAGCTAAGTAAGTTCTTTCCCTATGATTGTTAAATTGCAGCATCGCAAATGCGTGGAGCCTGATTATCATTAAATTGGTTACTGCTCTCAAATTTGTTTGGTTTATTGAAAGAAGTCTTCCTTGACAGCCCAGAAATTACGTAGAACTGAAATGATGAACAGTGTTACCTTGTTTGTCTGTCCTTCACAAACAAACCCCCTTTTGCCTTGGGGAATGTTCTGAATGCTGCTTAGCTCGATAAAATGTGACAGAGTTTTCCACACTTAAATTTAAAGGTTTGAATAGGGTGGGCTGGGGGGAGGGCAGGGGGGAGGAAGGCAGGAGGAGATTGCCTATGGGTCTCCTTTTCATGAGGTAAGCGGTGAGCTGGTTAGTGTATCTTGATTCTGAAGCTTTGTTTCTTCTGTACCTTGCACTGACTATTGCTTTCTCTGGCTTTTGAGTGCATTTCCCTGCTCCATTGGTCCCTTTGAGCTGAGCTCTTGCAGGTAGGTAGTATTTTAGAAAACGTTAGAGAAGAGTGAAATTTTAGTACATACGTAAATAAAACTTGTTTATTTTACAGGCTAAGGTGGGTGTGAGGGGGGGTTTCCCCCTTTAGTAAAGCATGTTGTTGACTTGTTATTTCTAATACCAGACGGTTCAGAGACAGTAGATGATAACAGGAGTTGGCTGCTCTTGGTCTGATAAGATGACAAAAGGATGGATTCATCTCCTGGTTTGAGGCACACTCTTTGCATTAGGAGAGTGCAGGGGGGTTGGTGGTTTTTTCTGTTGGCGTTCTTGCATATGGATGAACAAGGCAGCCCACTCCTTCTGTAGCAGAGTGGAACTTCTTATAGCCCTGGAAAAGAGCTTGCTTTTACAGAAATGATTTCTTTTAAAATTTAATTTCTTCCCAGAGTAAAATTTTGGGGGATGGATGCGCTTTTTTCTTTCTTTCTTTCTTTTTTTTTTTTTTTTTTTTTTTTTTTTTTTTTTTTTTTTTTCTTGTGCAGTTCACAGGTAGGTTGCTGACAGGAAGAAGGGAGATTCCTTCCAGAACCTCAGTTCCCTGGTTCCATTTTATATTTCCAGTGCATGGGCAGGAAGTTCCTTTGCTTGTGTTAAGAGAAAGCCAGAAGCATTTTCTTTATCCAGGCACTGACTGATAGGTCTTTGGCCTCCCTCGCAAGCAAATGTAGAGCTTTTTTTTTTTTTGTTTTAAATTTGAGAGTAGAATGCAGAAATGCTTTTGAGGGGTGTAGGAGTAGGACATCTTACTGACTGTCTTTAAAAAGGGTCTCTGGACTGCCAAAGCTGCCTTACAGTCTGTTACAGCTTTCACTTTTGAAGGTGACTTGGGTATGTTTAAACATCAGTACCAAGTCCTGCAGTGCTTTATTGTCATTGAGATCAGCTGAAGTCCAGGGTCTCAGTTCAGTTCAGAGCGTCAACCAGACCACTGAATGCACCGTGGCATGTGCTGCCCCTGTCCCACCTGGTGCTCTCTGCTCTGCTCCATGTACCAGCTGGAGGGCCCTTGTTGATAAAGCATTAGCCTCTAGTGTTGTTTGCGTTGTTTTCAGTCTGTAAAAAGTTTGTGGGAGTGTCAGATATCTGAGTTGGGTGTCTCCTCCCCTCCCGCTTCCTGAAGCAATTTACTGTTTGGATTTCTCTGAACAATTGAAGGGTTACTAGCTTTGTGTGGGATCAGCATCTTGTTTCACACACCTGCTGGTCTCTGAACACATTCCTGTTGTATTAACGAAGACTTGAATTGAGAGATTCATAGATCTGTGGTGTTCAGGCACAGGATACTAAGAGCTATGTTACTATTCTTAGTTTGTAAATTGTCCTTTTGATACCATCTTGTTTTCTTTTGTAGGTATAAAATAAAAACACTGTTGTCAATAAATTGTGGACTTCGTCTTTATTTTTGGAATATAAAGCTGTCTTTGCCCTTGTTCTTCCCAGTTCTTAAATTCAAGGAGATGGAAACACTTCTTGGCAACCCACTGAATTTTAATTGAAATCGCCCCTGTTTGTAGAACACAAGGAAACTGAAAATAAGTGAGCGGGGGGATGTTTGAATACTTGTGCAGTTAGAAGATTCATGTTATTCAAAGGCTGTGTTTTTCTTGAATGTTATGGGGCCTGAATAGAGAGAGGGTCAGGCAGAATTAACATCCAAGAGGGTGTTAGTTCATACAGAGTTAAACAGTTCGTAGCATCTGCTGTGTCAGACGTGGCCACCTGTGAAATAGGTCAGTTAACAGACTTTATTAGTACATGTTCCCTTTACCATGGACACTTGCTGAAGAACTAAAGGGAGTGACAGTTTCCCTTGTGCTGCCTCGGGGTAAGGGTGGAGGTGTGTTTTGGATATAGATGCTGGGAAGATCTGGGAGAGAAGAAATTGCACTACTTCAGTATTGGCCAGCACTAGCACCAAATTCAAGTGAGAAAAAATAAAAAAATGGAAGGGAAGAGTCTGATGGATGAAAAGCATTTCAGTTTTCCAAGCCTTGTCTTCCTGGCACTAGGTTGAAACTCGGCTGAGCCATCCTTAGTCTAAAAGGGCCAGGGAAGGAAAGCTGTGATCTTAAACAGCTTCATCTTTGGAGTTTCTTGCGCTGCCTGTGGGATGTCTTCAAACAGGCATGGGAAGACTTAGCTTCTTTCCTTTCAGGACTGCAAAGAGAAAGTAAGGAATAAATTTAGTGGAATTAAACTTTTCTATTGTTTCAGTAGTTTTATAACTTGCAATTTAGAGTGCTAGATAGTTGGGTGCCAGATTTGCACACTGAAATGCTGCTAAGAGGGGAAGGCACAACCTATTTATCCTCCTTTATGCTAAAGGAGAAGGTTCTTAAGTTTGTCTTCCATGCTTGTTCTCATGGGTGGACCATCTTAATTTTCTTGATGATGTGCTATTCCTAGTGCTTTCCCCTCCTTTTGATACAGAGCATGGCCTGAATCAATGTCTGTGGCCAGAGCCCTGCTGAGCCCTTCCCAGTGCATCTGAGCTGAACCTTGGGATGGCAGGGATGCCTCTGGGAAATGCCACAGGCCCATGGGCTTAGGTGGCGTGGCCGGAGCAGGGACTGTACTGGATGTGCAGTGGTCAGTGGTGCCTGGGATGGGCTGGAACCAGCGTGGGCCCCGGGGCCTGTGTCTGGTGGGTGCCAAAGGGAAGGGCTCCGATGTGCTGAGGATGCACCGCGCGGGAGGGCCTGACGGACCGGGGGAGGCCTGAGGGACCGTGCCAGGCTGGAGAAACGGAAGCCTTGTGAAGGTCAACAAAGCTGAATGCACATCCTGCCCTGGGGTGGAACAACCCCAGGCACCAGCATGGGCTGGGGGCAGCCCAGCTGGAAAGTGGTTTGGCAGGAAAGGCTTTGGGTGTGCTGGTGGACACCAGGTTGAGCACAAGCCATCAGTGTGCCCTTGTGATAAAGCAAGCAGCGTCTGGAGCTGCATTGCCAGCAGGGTGAGCAGAGTTCTTCCTCTCCACTCAGCCTTGTGAGCTGGGCTCAGCTCTGGGCTC